TGGTGAAGGAAATAGACATACAAATCCAGGAAGCTCAGAGAGTTCCAAACAAGATGGACTCGAAGAGGGCCACACCAAGACGCATCATAACTAAAATGCCAAAGGTTACAAATAAAGAGAGAATCTTGAAAGTAGAAAGAGAAAAGCAGAGAGTTACCTACAAAGGAATTCCCACAAGACTGTCAGCTAGTTTCTCAAAAGAAACCTTGCAGTTAAGAAGGGACCGTCAAGAAGTATTCAAAGTGATGAAAAGCAAGGACCTATATCCAAGATGATTCTATCCAGCAAAGCTATCATTTAGAATTGAAGTGCAGATAAAGTGCTTCCCAGACAAGGTAAAGCAAAAGGAGTTCCCACCAAGCCCTTATCATATGAAATACTAAAGGGATTTATCTAAGAAAAAGATCAAATCCATGAACAGTAAAATGACAACAAACTCACAACTATTAATAACTGAATCTAAAAAACAAAACAAAATAAACTAAGTAAACATCTAGAAGAGGGAAGGAATCATAGAAATGGAGATCACATGGAGGGTTATTAGTGGGGAGAGTGAAGGGGAGAATGGGAGAAAAGGTACAGGGAATAAGAAGCATAAATGGTAGCTACAAAACAGACAAGGGGAGGTTAAGAATAGCATAGGAAACAGAAGCGGAAGCACTTACACGCACAACCATGGACATGAACTAATGGGAGGATTGCAGGAGGGGAGGGAGGTACTTGGTGGAGGGGGGAAAATGGGGAAAAATCAGGGACAACTAAACAGCATAATCAATACAATATATACTTAAAAAATAAATAATAAAAAAATAGAAACCTAGGAGAAATTTAACCAAGGAGGTGAAAGACTTGTATTTTAAAAATTATAAGATTTGAAAAAAATTATAAGACTTGGCTGGTCTGATGGTAGTGGATTATTAGAATTCAACTAAAGTTAGTGTCAATAAAAATTATAAGGCATTGAAGAAAGAGTTTGAAGAAGACACAAATAAATGAAAACACATACTGTGCTCATGGATAGAAGGAATGACTATTGTTAAAATATTCATAATACTCAAAGCAATCTATACATTTAATGCAATCAGTATCAAAATACCAAGGGCACTTTTCACAGAACTAGAACAATCTTAAAATTTATATGGAACCATAAAACACCCTGAATAGCCACAGCAATCCTGAGAAAGAAGAACAAAGTTGGAGGTATCACTCTACCTGATATCAAACTATACTACAAAGTTATAGTATTCAAAAGAGCATGGAACTGGCATAAAAACCACCTGTCATGTGGTTAACATCCAAAAATCAACAAACAACTAGTGTTCACAAAGATATGGAGAAAAGAAAACCCTTGTACAACATTTGTGGGAATGCATATTGGGGTAACCACTATGGAAAACAGTATGACATTTCTTCAAAAAAATTCAAAATAGAACTACCATTTGACCCAATAATAGCAATTCTGAGTATTTAGACAAAGAAATCCAGAACTAATTCAAAAATATATAGGCACCCCTAGCTTCATTGCAGCATTATTTACAATAGCCAAGATATAAAAGCAACCTAATGTTAGTCAATAGATGAATTAAAGAAGTGGGACATATACTCATATATAGTGGAATATTCCTTGGCTATAAAAAATAAAATCTTTCCATTTGCAACAACAGGGATGGACCTAGAGAGTACTATGCTAAGTGAAACAAGTCAGGATGAGAAAGTCATTACCACATGACTTAATTTTCATGTGGAATCTGAAAACATAATAAACAACTTCCAGTCAAGATGGCAATGTAGGCGGACACAGCTCACCTCCTCATATAACCACATCAAAATTACAACTAAAATATAGAAAAACCATCACTCAGAACCATCAGAAATTGAGATGAATGGAAGTCTGACAACTATGGAATTAAAGGAACCACGTTCATCCAGACTGGCTGGAGGAGAGCAGATGCAGAATGGGCTACTCCTACACCCATGAGTGCTAAATAAAAATTTGGGAGGGATATCCCAGGAGTGAGGAGTCCCAGCCTCACACCAGGCCCCTAGCCCAGGGTTCAAGTGCCAAGAAGAAAAGTCCCTACAATTTCTGGCTGCAAAAATCAGCAGGGATTGATTCAGTGGAAGAAACTGCTGGAGCCCCAAGCAGTTCCTCTTAAAGAACCCACACATGGATTCACCTATTCAGACTCACTCCCTCTGAGCTCCAGCACCAGGGTAGCAGCTTGAAAGGCACAAGTGACATAGATGGAGAAGCTGAAGTATCTAGCATCAAGGCAAGGAGAGACCATTAACCCTTTTCTAAACCCTACCCCCACAGAGCCAGCATGCTGGTGCCATATCTGAGACTTCATCAACCTGGCTAAAACTGTGTTTTAGCCAGGTTGATGCCAGGTTTAGCCTGTGAAGACCCACCTTGGAGATCTTCAGAGATTCCTCCCCATCTAACTTACCAGCCCATCAAAGATACTTTTCCATATGAATGGCTGGCCTTGGCTCATGATTCACAACTTCCTAAATCTTCTCAAGCAACAGATAGCCTCAGTGAGCCCCCAGGCCCAGCACTAGTAGCTGCCAGCCTAGATTCACAATTTGGCTTCACCTCAGAACCTCCAAGCCCAGCACAAGTAGCTGCCACCTCAGATTGCTTCACAGCTCAGGCAGGGTGGCCCTAGGCAAAACTCAGGTAAGGGCTGACCTTGGCCGGCACCACCCAGGAAACCCCAGGGTCAGTGCACCCAGTGGCCAGCTACAGACCACGTCTGAGCACCACAACCCTGCCCCAGCACAGCTGATCTTTCAGAGAGCAGAGGTTGGTGGTAAGTGGTCACAGCCAATCCTTGCAGCTGACTTGCCTGAGTAAATCCTTCCCATTGATCTGCCAACAGCAACCAAGTCCCAACTACAAGAGAAGGGTGTACTCAGACAACATGGAAGGAACACCTTGTGCACCCAGCTTGGGTGATAGGGGAAGTTGTGGCACTGGACCCTACAGGACCCTACTACATTAGACCACACTACCAAGACACACAGCCAAAGCAGCTCTACCTAATACACAGAAACAAACAAAGGGAGGCTGCCAAAATGAGGAGACCAAGAGCCATGGCCCAACTGAAAGAACAAACCTGAACTCCAGGAAAAGAGCTAAACAAAATGGACATAAACAATCTATCAGATGCATAGTTCAAAACACTGGTTTTAAGGATGCTTGAGGAACTTAGTGAGGACCTCAACAGCATAAAAAAGATCCAGTCAGAAGTGAAGGATACAATAATTGAAATAAATAACAATTTACAGGGAAACAATAGTAGAGTGGATGAAACCAAGAATCAAATCAATGATTTGCAACATAAGAAAGCAAAAAACAACCAATCAGAACAAGAAGAAGAAAAAAGAGTTGAAAAAATGAGGATAGTGTAAGCAGCCTCTGTGACAGCTTGAAGAGGTCCAACATTCACATCATGAGGTGTACCAGAAGAAGAGAAAGAGCAAGAAATTGGAGATCTATTTGAAAAAATAATGAAAGAAAATTTCCCTAATTTGGTGAAGGAAATACACATGTACATCCAGGAAGCACAGAATCTCAAACAAGATCAGGTCCACTCCAAGAATCATGATAATTAAAATGCTAAAGGTTAAAGATAAAGTGAAAATCTTAAAAGCAGCAAGAGAAAAGCAATTAGTTACCTCCAGGGGAGTTCCCATAAGACTGTCAGCTGATTCTTCAAAACAAACTTTGCAAACTAGAAGGGTTTGGCAAGAAATATTCAATGTCATGAAAAGTGGGGACCTATAGAAAGATTGCCCTACCCACCAAAGCTATCATTTAGAATGAAAGGGCAGATAAAGTGTTTCCCAGACAGAAAAAACTAAAGGAGTTCATCATCACCAAGCTATTATTATATGAAATGTTAAAGGGACTTTACAAAAAGATTAAAACCATGAACAATAAAATAGCAAAAAAACCCACCACATATCTATCAACAGTTGAATCTAAAAAACAAACTAAGCAAACAAGAAGAACAGAGACAGAAACATGGATACAGAGAGCATTTTGAGGGTTTCCAGATGGGAGGGATACGTGAGGGGATGGGTGAAGAGGTGAGGGGACTAAGAAGTACAAATAGGTAGTCACAGAATAGCCATGAGGATGTAAAGTACAGTATAGGAAATGAAATAGCCAGAGAACTTATATGTATGATCCATGGACACAAACAATGGTGTGGGGAACAATGGTGGGGGTTGCTGGGTGGAAGGCAGCAGAGGGGAAGAATAAGGACAACTATAATAGCATAATCTATAAAATATAAGTTAAAATATAAAATATATAAAAATAAAATAATAAACAAACAAAACACAAACAGACTCATAGATACAGAGAACATACTGATGCTTGCCAGATGAGAGGGAGGTGGGGAGTTGGGTGGAAAGGTGAAGGGACTAAGAAGTACAGACTGGTAGTCACAAAATAATCATGGGAATGTAAGGTACAGCATAACACATCTAAGCACTAGATGTGTTAGCAGGACTACTTCATAAATTACATACAAGGTGGGGCAAAAGTAGGTTTACAGTTGTAAGGATGTGAAACACAGTTTATTTTTGTACTATTATTTTTTAATTATTATGTTCTTTTCCATACAAACGACTGTAAACCTACTTTTGTCCCACCCTGTAGATGTCTAACCACTATGTTGTACACCTGAAATTAACATAGAATAATATTGAATGTCAACTGTAATTAACAAAAAATTAATTGCACAGTATATAACAAAGTGATGTATGAAAAGGCACTACTAAATATACTACATCTGATAAATCAATACTAAACAGATAAACATTAAAAAATAAAGGATATTAACAAGAAGTTCTTCATTCCTTCATTTATTCAACAAATATTTATTGAGTGGCTCTTATGTGCCAGACAATTGTAGGTGCTTGTGGCACAGCAGTGAACAAGACAAGATTGTGCTGTCTTTGGGCTCACATATTAGTGTGGGGGGGGGGGAGGGCAGACCTTAGCGAATAAGTAAATTATGGAGTACTTTAGAAGGTGATAAATACTACTGGTAAAAGGAAAAGATTAAGTAAGGAGACCCGGAGTGAAGAATGGAGGGGGAATCTCACTGAGAAGGTGACATCTGAACAAAGCCTCGATCAAGTTCAAAGGACTGGCGGTGGTGGGGAGGGAGGTGCAGCAGCTCTGCGCGCTGAAGCAATTGGAGGGAAGCCAGTGTGGCTGCAGCAGGGAGAGCAAGGGGTCACCTGGTGGGGACCCTGCAGTCCACTAGAAGGCCTTGGCTTTTATTCCCAGTGAAATGGGGAACCATTGCCAGGTTTTGAGCAGAAGAATAAAATGTTGACTTCAGTCTTAAAAGGATCATTCTGGCTTCTTTCTTCGAACAGACTTCTTGTGTACGAACCTAGAAGCAGGAAAAACATTTGGGAGGTCAATGAACACAAAATTAAGTGCTCCCTTTCATGGGTAATCAGATATGCTACTTTAAAAAAGGTATTAACTTGTTTTTAACCCATGCAATGTTTAATGCCCTTTGAAGAAGATAATACCCGTGTTGATAAGGGCAAGGGCATTCCAGGCAGGTAAATTGAGACCACTTTTTTGGGGGTAGCTGGGTAACCTTGCCAAAACCTCAGAGACATTCATACCCTTTTACTAGAAATCCAACTTCCAATAAATCAATATAAGGGACTAATAATGACTGGTGTTTACTGAGTGTATGCACCAGACTATATACTAAATGTACCAGTATGTTGCCTCATTTAAATCCTTATTCATTATTTACCCTGGCTGTTGTGGCTCAATGGACTGAGCACTGGCCTGGGAACTTAAATGTCACTGGATCAATTCCTAGTCAGGGCACCTGCCTCGGTTGCAGGCCAGGTCCCCAGTTGAGGGTGTGGCAACCCATTGATGTTTCACACATCAATGTTTCTCTCTCTCCCTTCCCCGCTCTCTAAAAAAAGTAAAATCTTAAAAAAAAATCCTTAATCAGTATTCCCATTTTACAGAAAGAAAAACAGCACGGTGAGTCACAAAGCTCATAAATAAGGGCTGGAACCAAACCCAGGCCCTCTGAGGCTGCTATGTGGCAGGGGTAGACATGAAGATCTGTGTCGAAGTGGGGGTTCATTATAGCCTTATTTATAAGAGCAAAGAAAGTAAAATGAAATCAAAGGGAGGTTTTAAGTAAATCATGATTTACGCACATAACTCAGTCATTTAAAATCTTGTTGAAGAAAAGGTGTGCAGGCAGCCAGGTGCTGGTGCAGGCAGAACTTCCAGGAGCTCCCATCAGGAGGTGCCAGCAGCTGTTGTGTTCCATCTCTTCGTCCAGGTGCTAGGTGCACCGCTATATTCATCAGGCTGCACACTTTGCGTACTTCTCTGTGTGTACGTTACAGTAAAGTTTGTTATTTTTAAAATATTTAGTTATTTATTAGAGAAAGGAAGAAAGGGAGCAAAACATAGATGTGAGAGAGAAACATCCATCGGTTTCCTCTTGTAGGCACCCCGACCAGGGACCAAACCTCAACCCAGGCATGTGCCCTGACAGGGAATTGAACCAGTAACCTTTAACTTTGCAGGACAAAACCCAAACACTGAGCCACACCAATCAGGACTTAACTTACTTTTTAAAATGTAAGTTGCCAGATGCTTCTCATCCCAGGGGAACACAAAAATGTCTGGAACAGAGTTTTTTCTTCTGGGGCAGAAAAACCTCTAGGGTCCCTCTAGTCTGGTGCAAGAAAGAACCTTACTGTGTTTAGTCCTGTGGCATAAAGTAAGAGCTTAATCCATACCCATGACCCTCATCTCATCTCACCCAGAACTGCCTTCAAAGAAACACCATTTGAATAGAATCCCAGTGTCAGTCTCAGGGCCTCAGAAGTTCACTGGAACAGAGTCCTGGGCACAGCTGCATCCTGGGGAGGCAGTCGCACCCTGAGCCCTGGCAGGCACAGCTGTCAGCACCGCCTCCACCACCCTCACCCAGACCACCTGCCCCCGCACCAGAGGGAAAGAAGCAAACTGCATGTGTTCCACAGAAAGCAGAGTACACTGAAAACAGAAACAAACAAACAAAAAACTAGAGAAAACCAGAAAGAAATTTAGATACAGAGGCAGGAAAACAAAGATGAGAGGGGTGTGGGGAGAGAATGAAGAGAGGAGCCTTCCCTCAGCCAGAACCAGATGGTTCCTGCCTCAGTTCTCCTGCTAGTTCCCCTGCTAGTTCTCCAGGGTTAGCCCAGCTGCAGCCTGACGGACCTGACCACCTGACTGGGCATCGTGCTTGGTCTTGCCAGCACTCTCCTTTGGGCAGGGGACTCTGTTACCTCCTTCTCCCAACTGCATATTGGCTGAGGTCCACCCCTGCTTTGACATAGGGGCTCTCCCACCTAGGAGGCTCCAGACAACAGCTTTGGCCAAATGCTTCCACCAAGGAAGAGCCCAGGATGAGATGCCCACTTCTCCACCCTGCAATGATGACTCTCCCCTGCCTCCACCAGCCCCCAGGGGCTGGAGGAGGTGGGGTTTGGAACAAGGAACACACCATTCAGCAGGCCCCAGCACCACGGCTGCCTCTTGGGAGGGACAGAAAGTCAAAAAGGGGAGAGGCTGGCTGGTCTGGGCTGAGGGGACCAAGGGGACTTCCTGCCTCCACAGAGCCTTGCCTTGATGCCCAGACTGTTATATCAGCAAGGGTGCTTCAAATTCCCCAAGAATCATGGGGGAGGGGCCCAGAGAGGTCCTTGCAGGGAAGAAAAGCGGAGTGGGAGGTGGCCAGAGTCACCGAATTCCCCTGGGTCCTAGAGAAGGGTGGGTTTCTTCCCTCCCTCCCGTCTCACCCCATCTGTCTCAGACCTCAACTGCCCACTTCAGGCTTCTCAGTTCCAACCTTGAAGAGAGACGCCTCCAAGCCAAGGGGCCCCAGCCCCCACCAGGAGCCCCTCCAGGCTGCCTAGGCTCTGGGGACTGAAGCCCCCCTGCCTCCCTCACCACTGTACCAGATGTGGCTGCAAAGGAGGGGTGAGCACAGGGTCCAGCTGGCAATGGTCACTCGGTGGTCCTCTTCCTGCCCAGTCAGCAGATTCTGTGCCAGCTGCCAGGCCTCCACACTCAGCACTTCCTCCAGCCCGCTTTCCAGAGCAGCTGGGGCTTCCATTCCCAATTCTGCACAAACACTAAGCATGGTCTTTCCTGAGCTGTCCACCCAGGTGCCAGGGTCTGGGTTCAGCAGTCAGTGATCATGGGAGGAGGAGGCTGCCCAGCCCTGCCCAGTGTGAGAGACAGAGGGCAGGGGTGCTAGAGCCTGCCTCACCCCTTCCCAACCACAGAAACATCCTGACCTACAAAGGGTCTCTTGGTCCTTTCCCCTGCAAAGCAGTGAGGTAGGTCATGGTTCCCACCTCTTCTCTGCTCCCCAAACCATCTGCTGGTCAGGCCTAATGCCTCCTTGCTCCCCCACAGATTTTCCAGAGCCTGGAAAATTTTCCATCACATGGGCAAGAGACATTGGCCACTCCATGGGAACCCCAGCAACAGAGCAGCCTAGTCCAGAGCTCAGCACACAGTAGGTGCTTAACAGAGTCATGCACAATCAACGAACTCTTTCAGCCCTGTACCACCGGCCCTCCAAGTTCCCTTGAGATTGGTTCCTGGTGCCAGGGACTGGCAGCAAGCCTCAACCACATGTCTGGGTCTTAAAAATGTGGGTGTGAATCCTGGCCTGTAGGGACAAGCTGCCTGCCTGCTTCACCCCTGGACAGCGCAGGCGCAGCCCAGCCTGGGGACTTGAAGCCCTCATTTGACCCAAGCTCTGCACCCTCAACAGCCTGCTCAGGTCTCTCTCAGACCCCACTCTGCAGGCATCAGTCAAATGATGCCAGGGCACCTCAAGCCATGGAGGGAAGCAAGGCCTTGCCCTTCCTGGAGAGGTGGAATTAAAAAGCCTTCGCTGCGCTCAGAGCTGCTGGCCCTGTCAGCCACAGCAGGAGGCCCAGACTGAAGGAAGAAGGAAGTCAGAAGGAGGGAATGGGGAGGAGGGAAGAGGACAGGCCCCAGGAGAGGTGCCTACCTTGCACAAGGTTCACCCTGAGCAAGGAAGGATGCTGAAGACAGGCAAAAACAGGAAAGGGACAGGAAAAATGGACAGGGGGAGCACCTTGGCAGATGAAGCCCTCCCTTCCTTCTCTCACAGTCCAGAGGAAAGAAAGAAAATGGTGACCACATGCCTGGCACGATATTGGGTACTCTTCATAATCCTCTTATTTATTCTCCCAAATATGCCCCAGTAAAGGTATTACCCCCAGGTTACAAATGAAGACTCTGAAGCCTTGAGAGTTCGCCTGGTTTCCCGGGGCAGAGGCCCGGCCAGGCCAGGACCCCAGGTCTGCAGTCTCAGGAAGGGCTGGCAGAGATGCAGCCCTGGCCCTGGGAGCCTGTGCAGAGGCCCAAGCTATGTCCAGAGCAGTTTATTCAAACAGAGACTAACAGGAAACTTGGCTTCTCTGACTCATTCTGATTCAACCTTATTAAGAAAAAAGAAAGAGGAGCAGGAGCCAGCAGAGGGTAGGGTTTCATGCCAAGAGCTGGCTCAGAGTTAGAGGCCTGCTGAGCACAATGGCCCATGCCCTGCTCTCTCCACTGCTGGAAAGTCCTGAGGCAGCCCTGCTGCCTGCCTGGCTTGAGAAGCGGGGTTCAGCCTTCTCCATTTGAGGCCAGTGAGACTCCCCTACCTCTGTGCTCCTTCCATTTCTCCTCTTCCCCTCCTGCCTGGGGTACCCTGAGGCCTGTTTCCACTTCACCTCCTCTCTTGGAGCTGCTGCCCATCTGGCAGGAGGGCCCTAGCAGACCCCAGGGATTCCAAGCAGCTGAGGCCAGCACTGCAGGGGGCAGACAGTGAAGGGGGGTGGGGTGCTTAACCCTCCAGGTCCCGGTAGTCCTTTGTAAACTGGCTTTGCATCTGGCTTGGTGTCCTGCGCCAAGCCAGTTGCTCCTTGCAGGAGTCCTGTCTAGAGTCTGAAACCAAATCCCACACTGGGGAGCTGAGGGACCACTGTTGAATGTTGCTGGTTATGAGCATTTAAAGGGCAGATAGATACCTTGAGTCACCTGAACCAGCCCTTATCCTAAAGCACATTGTGATGGGTGAACAAATGCTGGCTGTGGGGGTGGAGAGTGAGGGCTCAGGGTCCCAAGGAATGTCCATTCCGGCTGTCTCCTCCCAAGGTGGACTCCAGGAGTTCCCAAAGTAGAAGAGCAATCTGCACAGGCCAGGTTAAAGGCAGGGTCTTCCTACCTGGTTTATAAGCACGAGAGGGGGATGTCTGCTCTCCAGTTCCCAGGAGGAAGGTTGGAAGGCAGACAGCAGCACAGGGGAGGCATTCAGAGTGTGATTTCTTGGACACCAAAGCATTCCAACAGGACTAGGTCCATGCTCCTGAATCCCCCATTCTTCTGTTTTACGTTATAGCACACAACCCTTTGAATGATCCCCATCCCATTGCGGACAGCCCTGGGTCTCATTTTATCCACTCAGGATATTTCCAGGCTATGTTGACTCAAGAGATACAGCATAGAAACCACATATAACATGCAAAACGTGGATCTCTCTCATGATTTCACAAGTTCTATTCAAAACAGGGGCATATGTCCCGGAGGGTAAGACCCAGAGGTATGCCAAGAGACAGAAAGCTGAAGCTCCAGCCCCAGTGTATTCAGGCCCAAGGAAGTGAGGTGTGCCTGGGGTCAGAATTAGAGGGTGGTTTAGCTGGGGTTCAGCATCTCCCCAAGAAAGCCCAGCAACAAGGGAGGTGTCTCTAGGCACTGGTTTCGGGGAGTGGGAGCCTGGGGATCCTGGTGAGAGGCTGGAGTGGCCAGGAGTCAGGGGCTCATTCAAGCCATCACAAGAAGCAGTAGGGGACCAGGGCTCTGGGTCCAAAGCAGAGAGAAATGGCCAAAATGCTGCTGACCCTACAGCCCTTTCCTGCCTGCCTGGGCCCCACTTACCAGGCCTGAGTCCCCAGGGGCCCTCTCCTAGTCCAGGTTTCATTCCCTTCCTCAGAGGCAGGTCTGTGGCTTGGCTGGGAGCTCCAGGGACTGAGGGAGCAGAGCAGCTGTGGGACGGGCCACATAGCTAAAACCCGGCGGGCCATAGGGCCCTGCGGAGGAGACCCCAGCAGGCAGACCAGGCTGCCCAAAACCTCCTAATACTCCCAGCCTGTTGCTTATTCATTCAGAGTGGGAAAGCGCCAGCCCCGAGGCCAGCCAGTGCAGGGCTGCCCATCTAAGGCCCCCAGGCGGTCCTGCCCAGCGACCTGCAGAGAGCCTCGTGCAGCCCTGGGCACCACCCCAGCCCTGCCCTGACCCCTTGGCCTCGAAATGTTGTCATCGGAGGAGCCGTCCCGCTCGGACCAAGGCCAGGATGGACAAAGCTAGAGCTGAGGCAGGCAAGGAGCCATCCTGTCCTCGAGGCCGTGGGAAGAGAAGCACGCACAGGGGGCCACTCCTGAGAGCCTCTCGGTTCACCAGGCCTCTGCAGAGGGGGCCACCATGGCTCTGGCCCGAGCCGGCTGGCAGGTGTGGGCCCTGGTGTGGGGCGTCTGCCTCTGCGTCCTGGTGCACGGGCAACAGGCCCAGCCAGGGCAGGGCCCGGACCCGGGGCGCTGGCGGCAGCTGATCCAGTGGGAGAACAACGGGCAGCTCTACAGCCTGCTCAACTCGGGCTCCGAGTACGTGCCCGCGGGGACTCAGCGGGCCGAGGGTAGCTCCCGGGTGCTGTTGGCAGGAGCCCCCCAGACCCCGCAGCGGCGAAGCCAAGGAGGACCCCGGCGGCGGCAGGCCCCGTCCCTGCCCCTGCCCGGGCGCGTGGGCTCGGACACCGTGCGCGGCCAAGCGCGGCACCCATTCGGCTTCGGCCAGGTGCCG